TAACAATACAATTGTTTTCAATACAGTGGTTGAAAGAATTAGAAACTGTGTCCTGTTGATAATGAAAAGACATTAGTTGTGATAATTTGTCAGTTAAATTCTTTAACAAAGGAAGATAAAGGTATAGAAAACAAACTGGTATGTTTGTTGGGAAAAGTCATTAATTGAAAATACTTTTTAACTTGATCTTTTATTCCTATTATATAAATTAACAAGTCAGTCAATGACTGAGGTGATGAATAAGTTGATTTGATAAATAAATAATATGTACAAATATTTTTCATGTAATAAATATACTAGTTAAGGATTTTAATTATTATGCAATAGATACATATTTATGGTGATTAATAATTTTTTGACTTCACAAAAGATAGAAATAATTTTCAATCTTTATTAAAGGACAATATATCTTTAACAAATGCTGTAATTGAATTTGAAAATGCCAATTGTCTGTGGTTTGAGGAATAGGAACAATGACAGATATATCAGAATTTATCTGTAAATCTGTGTTTTCAGTGATTCCTTATCTTCCTCCCTTCCTCCAACCACAACTACAGTGAAAGTATTCCTCCCACACATATTCTTCTATTGAAATGACTAAAGCTAAGAATGTAGCATTGTTCTGCTACTAATAATAGATCTATTCAATTGTAAGTTTATGTTTTTTGTTCCTAGTTCCAGTCCATGAATCTCAAGGTTTTAATAAAAACAAATATGTTTTGTAAGTTCAGTAAAACCTTTTCATACTATGAGCAAATGTATTCTATTGCATTGGAAAAAACTATCTCTTGTTGATCTTGAGCAATATTTCATAGGTTATTTTGTATGTATCATTGGATTCCTCAGGGCTCTAGTTCATGGATTTAACTTCAAACATCCTTTAATTTTTCTCATAGGATATCATGTAAAATTGGCAATGCAACCAGAAATAGACAGTTAAAGAATCTCTGTAGGTATAACCTGTAAAAACCTGCCAATCCCTCATGTATTTTAGCAACTGTTGTCCACAGTTAAGCTAGCACTTATAAACCTCCCTGTCAGATTTCACAGTTGAGCCTTGTTGTTTTTGTTTGCTTTATATTTTACAGTGTGTATTCTAGAAGATGTCTTCTAAGGAAATAATTTCCACTACAGTGAAGATAGTGCAGACATTTTTGATTTTTTGACAATGTTGCTCTGGATTTTCTTTTTTTTGGGGGGTGGGGTGGAGAATGAGAATTGTGTATTCTACAAAGCCTTATGAAGAATAGTTCTGAAAAACTGCCTCACCGAAGACTAAAAGACATTCTTTACATATTATATTTGGAAGCAAAATTGTTCATTCTGTTTTTGCTTTTCATATCAACATTTTGTTTTCTTTGTTTTAAACAAATTAGTGTATCATATCACAGTAATACTTTATAGGTACATACAGGTTTCTATTTTACTATATTTCACAGGTAGAAATTGTATATTCAGGATAGTTTGAGCTATTAAGATTTTGAAAGACATTTTGACATCTGCTACTAGTTATGGAGGAATCTCACATTTTTATTTTCTCCTATCTTTTTTTTAAAAAGTCTCAAATTATTTTCCTTATTTATGAAGTAATTGTGAAATAATAGATTTTTCACTCTGAGTACTCACAGTTCCACTTTAAAGTGATAATGTAGTAGGAATTTAAAGTAGTGCTTTGCATGCAAATAATATGTGCTTCTTATTGATTATTGAGAAGGACCATCCAATCCAGAGACAGAAGCAAATAGCATACAAGATGCTTTTGTTCAAAAGACTTGCTTGCTGATTATGTAAGAGATGATTATCCAGAAGGATTCCCAAATTGCATACAGTGCCACCTCATTAAAATATCAGTTTGTTTTTGTTATAAAGATTGTGGAAAATTTACCTTTTAAGTCTGATCTTCTGTATTGAGACTTGTCATGTATGTATGTATGTATGTATGTATGTATGTATGTGTGTATGAATGTATGTATGTATGTATGTATGTACCCCTTTCTCCCCCATTTCTACGTCTAGTCAGAGTTACTGTTGTTCTCCAACTGTGAGAACAGCAGCTGTTTGTCTAGAAGCCTATTGTGAGTTTATTTCTCCAATTCTATTCCTTTTCCCCTTGAATTTTAATTCAGCCAGCTTGGTTACAAAACTGAGAGCTTCATCCAATAAACTTATTGATAGATAAAATATATAGAGACACAAGCACACACATACAAACCTAGATAAAGAAACATGTATACATAAACTAAAGAAATATTTAGTCCTTCATTTAAATGTCCATTAACTCCTCATGAGAGGGAACTTTTTTTAATCTGATACAAAAGCTGTATGTAAGACATAGGAGGCTGCATATAATCAAGAAAACTGCCAACAAAATAACCTGAAACATTTTTAAATGAAATGGAAAGTTCCAAATGAAAATGAGGTTTTAATTTGCTCTTTTAATTATTATCAACATTTGCCTAATATGTTGCACAGTATAAAGCAAAACACAGAATGAGGTCTGCTGAAATCAGTGTGTTAGTGATGTACCTAATCAAGAAGTCACCATGAGCTATCATAACATGGAGAATATAAACTACATTGGTTTGAAATTGATTAGGTCAAAATGAATTTAATATAAGCGAGGAAATGTGCAATGAAGGTAAAACTGGCTTGGGTCCATAACTATGTAGACAATCTAAGTAATTGTGGGTATATGATATATAAGCTTTTCTCATATATTAAATTACTAATTCAAATAATTTTTAGATTGTGTTCAATTTTACAAGATTATTTAAAATATGTTCAACTTTATAGAAACTGACTTCTGCATCAACAACAGAAACTATATAAGAATTTCCCCCCACATACATTTATACTTTAGAGACTCTGGCACCAAGAGACACATTTTGATCCTGATTCTGTGATAAATAATTCACAATGTTTGGCTTTGGTTGTGTTTCTTGTGACAAAGAATAAATATTATGGCCTCCAATGTAGATGAATAGTTACTGAGATTCCTTTATTGATCACACAGTCAGCCAGATATTTAGAATGGATTTGGCATTTTTATCTACATATTGAGTTCTTCTCCAAAATCTGGATATGCAGATGTTGTTAGGTGGTGCTAAAGGTATCATATTATGGTTTGTCAGAGTTAGCCAGAGATCTAGACTGGATTTTATCTACCTATTGAGTTTTTCCAAAGAATATGTTATAGCAGAAGCTGTTGTTTGATGGCATTGTAACTTGTTTTGTAATTGACTGATGGTATTTTTTTGTCAATTCAAGTGATGCACCAGAGGTTTTGTGATTGTACACAAGGCATCTATTATTATTGGTAGTATTTTTGCTTGTGAAATCACAGCTGTCAGTTGTTTTGTTGATGTTGGCCTTTACATACATTGAATTTTCCCCAGAACCTAAGGTATTGGAATGCATTGGTGTAGTGTATATGCGGATCCAAGTACATATACTACATTAATTGACAGATGAAAATTTTATCAACGCACAGATTTTCAAGTATTGTTCAAGAAATTTTGGTTCAGCACCTAGTGTGCCAATAACCCATGTGACCACTCGGTCAGTTTATGCTATAATATTTCAATTTCAATTTTCAGATGTTGAAAAATCATGATTTTCAGATCTTGAAAATTCTCCAAATTTTGTCTTTCATTCATTATTTCCTGATATTTACACATTAGCGATTTATACTTCCTTCTTTTCAAATTCATATGGCAATACCACAACAAATTATTACATTGTATTATTGTTGTTGTTGTTACTTCATATGTTAAGTGTTCCTAACTAAGATATTAAAAAGCACATTTTTAAAACTCTAAACTTAGAGGTTTTACCATTAAACCTTATTTACTATATTTATATAATATTTTTTATCCACGCTAGTAGACTATGTACAAGAGCACACATACACATACTCATTCACACATCTTTTGATTCCTTTGTATTTATCTTTGATTTCTATCAGAGAGAAAAGGATATCATGGTTATGAAGATCCAAGATTAGCACTAAATTCAATGGATTTGCTTCTAAGAAGGCCTGAATTAAAAATTGCATTCTGATTAACATATCACTATACTCTAATTTTGAATAGCAAACACTTTGCCATTTTTCCCTTTTCATCTATAGATGAATTTAAAGACTTAACAATATTTTTTTTAAAAGGAACAGATGGAATCTTTACTGCTAATATCTGCAGGTGTTGAAAGCACTTCCAATTCAATAATGTGAATGCAGCTTTTGGAAGCTAGAAAAAAAATAAGTTTCAATTCTGAGGAGTATGAAATCGGTTTGTAAAATAAATCTGTTATCTATATAACACAAATACATAATTCTGATAGTTCTGAATCTAGAGACAAGTTTAAAACAAATAATTTTAAATGCAGAAGAAATGACAGTAGGATTTAGCTAGATCTGTGTTTTTATGATTTGAGTTTCCTGCTACACTGAACCTTGGGAATATTGGACATGTTACTTTGATTTATTATGTGGACTTCTTCCACGAAATAGCTTTGATTGTTATTTATCAGAATAGTCAATCTTTATTCAAACCATTCCCTGAGGGGTCCTTGGCGCTTTCAGAACTTGGTCGTTTTCTTACAGACATTTCATTACCCAAACAAAGTAATATCATTGTTGGTGGCTAGTCATCAGGACTAGCAGTGATGATATTACCTAGTTTGGGTAATGAAATGTCTGCAAGAAAATAACCAAGATCATAGACCACCAAGTACCCCTTATTTCAACCCTGATCTACAAATATTCTCTTTCATTGAAACCATTCGCTTTCTTCCATACTTTCTTTCCTTTCATAAGCATGCCAGTTTATTAAAAATTATATTTAAGTTTTTAAAAATAAGCAAAATAGCACAATACAACAATTTAAATAATGTAATCATGAATATAGATTCAAATGCGACTTTCAGAGATTCATAACATTTTCTAAGGAAAGACCGCTATCAATCATTTTGGTCAATAATGGAATAGATTCCTGTTTCCTTACCTCCAGGATGAACTGGTGCTCCACAGAGAAGAACAACCCCTTGCCCTTCCCGCACAGATACAGTACTTCTTATTTTTGTCTTTAAATGTTCAATACCTATGTTTCCAAAAAGAAAACGAGAGAGAGAGAGAGAAGTTTTAATATGGAGTCAGCTACAAAAAGAGCTGCATTTGGTCCTCATTGATGCATTTTCATTAACTTTCAAATTAATTTTCATAAAAAGTATTCATTACAAGAATCAAATTCTCTAATAAAGATTATTATTAGCAAAGTTGCTTCATTTGGAATGCAAACCAGCTTCTACTACTCATAATCAGTGTTTTCAATATGAACATTACAACCTTGTCTTGTTCACAATAACTGTACCAACCCAAGTATCTAATTGATGTTATTCAGTTTATGATGAAGAGTTTTCTTTACCTTCCTTTTTCTTTCTAGCAGAAGGAAAACAAAAGCACCAAAATTTGGGCGAACTTTTCTTCTCACAGAGTATCTGAAAGTTGTATTATTGTCAGTCAGCAAGGAAAATTACAATTGTAACTGCTTGCCAATGACTTAAAACATCAGAAAGAATGACAGGATTCATTTGAATGAATGAAGAATGAAGGATTTCTTCTGTTGCTGAAGTAGAAAGAATTGTAAGACATAAAACTCATAGGGAATTTACTATGACTCCCAGAGAAAGGACACTTTAAAAGACTTTAGCAAGAGCTGTTTATAATTGTCAATTACAATTCAATTTAAATTTAAACCTGGCAGAATTTAAAAATGATTGATATGCAATCATTTAAATACAATAAGTATATGTTTAAAAAATGTAGCTAGAAAAAAATGGAATGGGATTAAAATACAGGAAAAATAATAAAAAGTAATACGTAACTAATAAATATTCCAAGAAAGAGGAAAGAGTTGCATGCATCAGTTATACTGGTAATTTTTCATTAGTTTCTAAGGGAACCAAAGCTGGCATTCTCTAAACGTAGTCCAAGATTAACCCAACAGCTGTCAATAAACTTGAATCCACCATTTGTATTTATGCCAAGTCATTCACATATTCAAAATAAGGAAGCTGAATGTGTCTTTTGCATCAAGTTAGATATATAATACAAAGCAACAACTGTTGCTTAATATAATAATATTGTATTATATTAATAATATTGTAATATTATATATAATAATATATAATACATAATATTGATTAGGAAGGAATGTCAAAGTAACAATATTCAAGGTAATATTTAATTTAAAACAGTTCAAACACTTATAAATGTGATTTTCTCCCCTCCCTCTTGTTGCACACACTTTCAATGCATGGAGAAGAGATCTGTCTGCTTGGAGAGGGTTCAGTCTGCACAGCTAACTGGCTGGAAAATGGCTGGTGCCTGTCTTACCAATATATGAAATGACTCTCACTATCTGTGGCTTGCAATTAACTTTAATATAAAAACTGAAAGAACCTTCTGCATATTTCTTCTTTAGCCTTCTAGTCTAAACCAACTGCTGTTCAAGTGGCCGGATTATTATCACCTGACTACAGGAGTGATGCTAGATCATATCACTCATTCAGCATTATTGCAACTTCAAATGGTTGCTGAAAAGTGATTGTTAATCAAGGCTTACCTGAAGAACATACTTTAATTGATAGAAATATTATTTATTTAATTTATAATCCACCTTTATTTTATATATCTCATACTGGTACATGTAATACTCACAATGTTTTCCCCTATAACATCAACCCTGTAAGATGTGTTGGGCTGAAAGAAAATGACTGTTTCCCAGTCTCCCAGGAGCCTTCATATCAAGAGAGAAGTCTCTCTACTTCTAATTTAATTATCTATCTGTCAGGTTACACCTAAACAAGAGAAATCAGTTACTTCTTTTCTTTTATGTGATACTAAAACATTGCTGGTGCACCAGTTGTGCCCCTACCTGAACCGGGAGGCACTCGCGACAGTCACTCACGCCCTCATGACCTCAAGACTGGACTACTGCAATGCTCTCTACATGGGGCAGCCTTTGAAGAGTATTCGGAGACTACAACTCGTCCAGAATGCAGCCGCGCGAGCGATTGTGGGTGCACCTCGGTACACCCACATTACACCTATCCTCCGCGAGCTGCTCGGTCTCCGGATACGCTTCAAAGTGCTAGTCGTAACTTATAAAGCCCTTCATGATATTGGACCTGGGTACTTGAGAGACCACCTGCTGCCAATTACCTCCCATAGACCCGTTAGATCGCACAGGGTTGGCCTCCTCCGGGTTCTGTCCACTAGCCAATGCCATCTGGCTACCACCCAGTGGAGGGCTTCTCTGTAGCAGCTCCGGCCCTTTGGAATGAACTCCCCGCGGAAATTCGGACCCTCACCTCTCTCCAGGCCTTCCAGAAAGCCGTCAAAACCTGGCTGTGCCGGCAGGCCTGGGGTTGATGAGTTCCCCTCCCCTCTCGACTTGTATGGCTGTATGACTCTTGTCTATTTTAATTACATGTATTGTGTTTGTATCCCCTTTTCCCCTTTTGAGTTGTTCGCCGCCCTGAGTCCCTCCCGGAGAAGGGCGGCATACAAATAAACTAAATCTTAAATCTTAAATCTTAAATTTCCTATAATGTTTTAAAATTATATGTTATCCTCAACTGTTTGGAAATCCAAAAATTCCTTTATTAAAGGGTAGTACAAAATTTGTTCTTATGTGTTATTTTAAAAATGAAAATACATTATGATCATTTTAGAGTCATTTCATCACATCCTATAGGAGCACAAGCGTATACAGTGTAACAAACAAATGTATTTCTAAGTTTAATACTGAAGTGTATTTCAGTTCATTCCCCTTAATTTTAACAACTCTGCACTATTCCTTGTGAAGAGTGCAATCATGAAGAACAGACTCAACATCTACCATTATTCAACTAAAACAGAGGTGAATCTATGTCTTTTCAAATATTGATTAAGAAGGCTTGGCTGATAGGATCAGAAATCTGGATGGATGCATATTACATGGTCCTGCATTTAAGTCTCAAAACTATTTAGTCAAAAATTTCACAGCAGAGATCTATTCAATAATTCTTTTTTTTTAAATGAAACCCTTAATATTTGGAAATTATCTTTCTAAATACTTAGAGAGGAAACTTAGTGATGCAGTAGTTAAGTGCAGTATTGCAGGCAAACTGCGCCCGCAGCCTGGAGTTCAATCCTGATGGGGATCAGCCCTCCATCTTTCCAAGGTCGGTAAAACGAGGACCAGGATTGTTGGGGGCAATATATACAAGTAATGCAGGATAGTGCTGTGGGTGGTATATAAGTCAAAATAATTATGCTATTATGTATAAACATTCTTTATAATAAAAAGAAAAATGGAAATAGAGCACAATGTAAATGATATAAAATTTGGAACCCAAATGTGAACTAGAAAGTTGGGGACAAAATTAGAACAAAAGGTGTTGAGGTAGTTCATTTTCTATCCAGTGTCTCTTCTTGCAATAAAGTCTAGATGGCTACTTTACTGGACATTCTCAAATAGTGATTAAGCCAGTGCTACATTCCCAGATGTACATTATACACCCTATTCTGCCTTCAAGTTAATTACAAACAGGTGAAGAATATGACCTATTTCTCCTTAAGATTTGTTCATAGAGTTGCAAAACAACTTAGAATCTGTGTTTTTGCTTATAAATTTTATAAAACATAGCTTCATAGGTACAATAAAATACAATAGCTGAGTACAATAAAATACAATAGCTGATCTTCTAGTTCAACTGCCTGCCTAGGCAGGAAACCATATAGCAGTGATGGCGAATCTATGGCATGCATGCCACAGGTGGCACGCGGAGCCATTTGTCAGGGCATGCGAGGGGCTGAGTTCAACCTTTTTTAAAGCCATTTTTGCCCTCCCGAGGCTCCAGAGGCTTTATAGGAGCCTGGGGAGGGTGAAAAGAGCCCCCCTGCCCCTCCAGAGGCTTCATGAGCCTCCAGAGCACAAAAAACTGGCCCTAAGGGCAAACCGGAAGTTCGGAGGGTCGTTTTGACTGCTCCAGAGGCTTCAGGGAAACCTCCTGAAGATCCCTGAAGCCTTTGGAGTGCTCAAAACGATCGTCCGACCAAACCGGAAGTCACTTCTGGTTTGCTTGCCAGTTGTTTTGACTGCTCCGGAGGGCGAAAAAAGCATGGAAAAAATGGAGGGAGCGCATGTAGTGCGTGCATGTGCACTGGGGGGTTGTACATTGCTTTATGGGTATGGCACGCCCGCACACGACCCCCCCCCCTGTGCCCCCCCACTTATGGCACATGAGCCAAAAAATGTTCGCTATCATTGCCCTATACCGTTTCAGACAAATGGCTATCCAACGTCTTCTTAAAGACTTCCAGTGTTGGGGCATTCAAAACTTCTGGAGCAAGCTATTCCACTGATTAATTGTTCTAACTGTCAGGAAATTTCTCCTCAGTTCTAAGTTGCTTCTCTCCTTGATTAGTTTCCACCCATTGCTTCTTGTTCTACACTCAGGTGCCTGGATAATAGTTTGACTCCCTCTTCTTTGTGGCAACCCCTGAAATATTGGAACACTGCTATCATGTCTCCCCTAGTTCTTCTTTCTCTTTAGGTTTAGGTTTATTAGATTTATATGACGTCCTTCTCCCAAGAACTCACGGCGGCATACAACATTAACAGAAACACATAATACAAAAGTTAAAAAATAAATAAATAGAATATCCCAAACCCAATTAAAATTGACAATGACATTTTTTTTAAAAAATCAAATTAAAATTAACAGTGATCAATAATTTATTTTGTTTTGTTCAGGCCAGGCTGGCTTGCTGGAAAAGGCAACTTTTTAGGGTGCCTCGGAAGGACCGCCCAGTTCCTGCAACCGTTCTTCATGTTTTAGTCTCCAGTCCCCTAATCATCTTTGTTGCTCTTCTCTGCACTCTTTCTAGAGTCTCCACATCTTTTCTACATCGTGGCGACCAAAACTGAATGCAGTATTCCAAGTGTGGCCTTACCAAGGCATTATAAAGTGGTATTAACACTTCACTTGATCTTGATTCTATCCCTGTTTATTTAGCCTACAGATGTTCAATGGACTACCCAAAGGACACTTT